AACCAAAATATAACTTTTTGGTAAAAACTCAACTTGTCGTGTTTGGAGGAGAACGAATGCTGAGTTGCATCCAAAGAACACCATACCTACTGTGAAGCATGGGGGTGGAAACATCATGCTTTGGGGCTGTTTTTCTGCAAAGGGACCAGGACGACTGATCCGTGTAAACGAAAGAATGAATGGGGCCATGTATCGTGAGATTTTGAGTGAAAACTTCCTTCCATCAGCAAGGGCATTGAAGATGAAACGTGGCTGGGTCTTTCAGCATGACAATGATCCCAAACACACCGCCCGGGCAATGAAGGAGTGGCTTCGTAAGAAGCATTTCAAGGCTCTGGAGTGGCCTAGCCAGTCTCCAGATCTCAACCCCTTAGAAAATCTTTGGAGGGAGTTGAAAATCCGTGTTGCCCAGTGACAGCCCCAAAACATTACTGCTCTAGAGGAGATCTGCATGGAGGAATGGGCCAAAATATCAGCAACAGTGTGTGAAGATTTACAGAAAACGTTTGACCTCTGTCATTGCCAACAAAGGGTATATAACAGAGTATTGAGATGAAATTTTGTTATTGACCAAATACTTATTTTCCAACATAATTTGCAAATAAATTCTTTTTTTTTCTCATTTTGTCTCTCATAGTTGAGGTATACCTATGATGAAAATTACAGGCCTCTCTCAGCTTTTTAAGTGGGAGAACTTGCACAATTGGTGGCTGACTAAATACTTTTTTTCCCCACTGTATATATGTGTGTGTGTGTGTATATTTATGGTGGTAAAACCGCATACCGCGCTATTGAGCCACTCAAAATTACCGCAAGGGAAATTCCCTCACCGCGACAGCCCTACGCGCAGGCGCAGGTAGACTATTTCACACACGCATCTGTCACCTCTCTCTTTCTTTCTCTCTCTCTCTTGATCGATCGATCAAATAAGTAGCTAAATGTTATAATTAATTAATTCAAATTAGTGTGATCTTACTGCATTATTTCATCTCTGTCTGATCTGAAGTGGGTCGTAGCTTCACGTCGATTGATTTTGGTTTTTAAAATTGTTCAATGCACAGTTAACCGTGTATTATCCCTTATGCATTCACTCTTTAGAAGCAGTTTTTTTACTGCAATATTTAAATGACACCCTGGTCATTCGTGGTGTACCCAAAATGCTCCAACACTATCGACTTCAGTCATTTCTCTGGTGGAAATAAAGCTTCTCTGTTGGTCCGCTAGTGTAACTTTGTTTTCGTTTTGCGCAAGTTGCAACTGTTCTGTTCTGTGCAACAGAAACACTCGGTGTAGCGGAGCCTTTACGATTAATTAACCATGACGTTTTAAAGCGCGGTTAATCGTGAAACCGGTTAATCGCTGCATCCCTACTCCAGTCCAGAGCTCCTGCCAAGAGGAAACCGTACGCCTTGAAGTGGAAGCTTTTCACTTCATGGTGCGGACAGCGACTGCAAGACCCAGTCAACTGCCCAATTGGTACAGTTCTGGAGTTTCTGCAGGAGCGATTCTCCGCAGGGTTATCGCCCTCCACTCTAAAGGTATGCGTGGCGGCCTTAGCTGCTTACCACGCCCTTCTGGATTGCCAATCATTGGGAAGACACCCACTTATCACTCGTTTCCTCCGTGGCACCCTGAGGCTGAGGCCGGTACAGCGCACTAAGGTGCGCTCATGGGACCTGGCTGTGGTTCTGGAGGGCTTATGCAATGCCCCCTTTGAACCCATAGGAGAAGTTTCAGTCAAGTTTCTCACACTCAAAACTATCTTTCTCCTCGCTATTTCCTCACTTAAAAGGATCGGGGATCTTCAGGTACTTTCTATTTCATGCCTGGAATTTGCTCCAGGCATGGTTAGGGCATTCCTTTACCCGAGGGTCGGGTATGTCCCTAAGGTGCCCACTTCTTTGCCAGGGCCCATAGTACTTCAGGCATTCTGTCCTCCTCCGTCCAAGGAAGTAGGCCAAGAAAGGCTTAATCTGCTCTGTCCAGCTCGAGCACTAGAGCTGAGCTCCCCGTGGCATAAGGCAGATCAGCTGTTTGTTTGCTTTGGTCCGCCAAAGAAGGATCCCCGGCGACCAATCAGACTATGAGAAGGTGGGGGGTCGAGGCCATCTCACTAGCCTACGAGTCCTCTGGCCTCCTATCACCTATGGGGGTCAGAGCGCACTCGACCAGGAGTATGGCGGCCTCCAAGGCTTTCAAGTTGGGTGTGGCCTTGTAGGACATTTGTGCTGCGGCGGGCTGGTCCTCTCTGCACACTTTTGTCCGCTTCTATAACCTAGACCTGGCATCTACCCCAGGTTCCCAAGTTCTCTCTTTGTGATGTGCTCATGAGATACACACACACAGACAGGGACTTGGTAGTATGGCGCAGTGGGTATTCTCGTTCCCAAAGCGATTCTCGACGCAGCTCGAGTTCCTGAAGGGGAACGTCTCTAGGTTACGTATGTAACCATGGTTCCCCGAGGGAACGAGATGCTGCGTCTCTTTGCCATACTCCCTGCATCGCTGCAGGCGCTACTTCATTGAAGCTAACTTGCGCTTTGCTGGATGCGCTTTTATACTTCCTGGTGCTCACGTCACCCCGCTCGTAGGGTTGGGTAACGAAACCTGGTACCATATGGCACCGGTACCTATGTAACCGGTGTGTACAAGAAACGAGTCCGAACGCAGATTTCGGTGCCATGCCTGAGTGATCGATTGAAATATTTGTCCTCTGGTTCTCCGAAATGGACGTAAGAAGCATCATCACCGGCACGCACGTGAAAAATAATTTCCAGACTGAAAAAATGCACGTGAACTCAAGTCGGAAAGCTCTAATAATATAAATCCAACACATCTTTGTAGTAACGAGAGTGTCCATGTTGTTTTCACATTCCGACTTAAAAGCACAACTCGGGAAATGAGAGCATCCGAGGAGCTTGTGAATGTAGTAATTACACTTGCTCTGATGGCAGCAGGTAGCCTTCCGTTAACTAAGCTAAACATGCTTAAATTAAAATGCCTAAAGCTAAACTTCCCTTGTATTCACATTTCTAAACCTGTTGTCCAACAAAAGAGAAAATTATAACCTTTTTACTCCACAACACCAGTCAAATGCTTCCTTTTGTGATCTGATGAGGCTTCTTGTCACAGAATGAGGCAGAAAATATGTTCTATATGCTACTTTAAAAAGAATACATTGATTAGCAATAAATTAGGGTGACCATACGCCCTCTTTTCCGCGGACCTACAATTTTTTTTTTGGACCTACAAAAATGCGTCCGGCCGGGATTTCTTAAGTGCCCAAAATGTCCGGGATTCGGCTGTTTTCTTAATCTCACTCTCGCTGAATCTCTGACCATTGCCACCTGCTCCCGCAACATGTGTTTCACTCCCGTGATTTTCGTGTCCACTCCTTTAAACATTCTATAATTTTGGCGCATCAGGGAGCCGCTCTCAGGATGTGGTGTATTTAAAAAAATTTTAATGAGCGTTTGCGCTGTTTACTTTCACTTTCGATTTCGTGATCACACGCACTCTGTGTAAAGGGAACACATCTTACAAGATCAGATATTTGTCAATGATCAGTCAAAGCTGACTCCGGTAGCTCTTGTTGGATGCAGGGTTGCCAAGTCTGCGTTTTTTCCACAGAATTGGGCTACTTTTAAACTGTTGCCATGGGTTGATTTTCCCAAGTGGGTTAAAGGTTTGAAATATTGCATAAATTAAATTTGACTGAAATGCTTGTATTGAAACATTTTGCATTCTACCTATGATAAAACTTTCATGGTCTTCTACATTAACTGTTCCCTCCTGGTAGAATTACCTGCCCAGCTCAATCCAAGCAGCTGAGTCCTTAATATTTTCAAGAAACGGCTGAAAACACATCTCTTTCATCTTCATTTGACCCTCTAACTTTAGCACTCTCTATTCTAATGCCACTTCTAATTTTATCTGCTTGTTTTTTTAAATAATTTTTTTTATAATTTTTAACTTTTTAACTTTTTTTCTATTCTATTTGTATTCTAATGGCCAATCCATACTTTTTTTGGGGGAATTTTTATTTATTTACTTTTTAACAAGTATCGGTTCAGGCACCGGAACCGTTTTAAAAGTATCGATTCGGTATCGGAAAAACCCCAAACAATACCCAACCCTACCCACTCGTGACGTCTCGCTGCTCCATTGGGCTGATTTTACACGTGCTTCAGAACACGGTCACGCTGGGGCGTTCCCAAAGCGATTCTCGCCGCAGCGTCTCGTTCCCTCGGGGAACCATGGTTACATACGTAACCTAGAGACGTTTTTCTATATACACTGAATTCACTGAATATCAGAATATATTTGATGTTAAATATACAGCTATGTGGCGCAGTATTTGGACCAATGGGGTTTCCGTGTGGGCGGGGCTACCCAACAAAATATGACAACAAAATAATGCTTGATGCTTTTCACTTTATTTTGTTGTGCTTGGGATGGGCATTTTATGAAATTTTCTAGTCAATTACTGTGAGACATAAAAACGAGTAACTGATTACTTAAAAATGATAAGGCATAGTTCACCCAAAAATGAAAACTTGCTGAAAATGTACTCACTCTCAGGCCATAAAAGATGTAGATGAGTTTGTTTCTTCACCAGTTGGAGAAACTGTAGAAATTTTGCATTATATCACTTACTCACCAATGGATCCTCTGCAGTGAATGGGTGCCGTCAGAATAAGAGTTCAAACTGCTGATCATCAAAAACATCACAACAATCAAAAACATCACAATAATCCACATGGCTCCAATCCATAAATTAACATCTTGTGAAGCGAAAAGCTGCATGTTTGCAACTGAAAGAAAATATTTTAATGTAATTTAAAATGCATTTAAATAAATAAATATTTATTAAAATAGCTCAGAAGTGACAAACCTATTTGAAAAGTTATACATTTCATCTAAGTATCAGCCTTTTGGCCGTGATGGCATAAGTTCAGTTGATGATCAATTGGGTTTTTTATTTGTTTCTTTGTTTTTAGGTGAACTTTGTAGTATGTCAGCTCTGTGCCCTGCTCACGGCCGTGTGGTTCAGGCTCTATCTGCACCCCAGCAAGACCAGTCCTTTTGTGCGGCATGTGGTGGCCACATTGCTGGGCATCTACTTTGCCCTCTTCTGCTTTGGCTGGTGAGTATTTGCCTGCTGTCCATACTGACGCATCCCTCTCTGTGTGTCCGCATTGAAACTGAAACCAGTTTTTGCTTGTACTCCCTGCTGCTGGACTGCAGGATTTGTGCTGGCGTGATGTTCCAGAAAGATACAACAGACGCCAATCAATAGAAAATGTAGCAGTCTGTAAACGAGAGAGATTGATACAGAATAAACAAACGGTTTATAGGACAATAAAAAGAGCTTAAGCTGACGTCTGTAGTACACTGTCAAGTATCAAATTATATGGTATGTTTCAGTTGTAAATACACCTGTATGACTCCCTCAGCTCAGTGCAACAGTGACTGGACATTTTTTTTAAACAGAAAGTCACCTGTGAGATGAAAGACACGATTACAACATTTGATTCAAACCAAAAAAGGATTTGAAAAATGGAAAACAGAAATACTAGTTTTCATGGTTACAATGAATTTAGTTGAGTGGTGGGTCCCATTTTTGGATTGTGAGTCGAATAAAAGATCTTGCATTTTAAAACCACACGATTACTGGACTAATGACCTTCTGTTGTCATGTGCGGTGAACGGAACACAACTGAAGTTGTGTAAACTCTCAGTCAGTACGTTTGCATGTACAGCAGAAAACAACGTAATGTTTTTATGCACCGTGTTGGCATCTGGTCCACGCTGCTTTTTTCACCATCTTAGACATGACTCAGAAAACACAGCGGAATATACAGTTAAGCTTATAGATATCTAGTTAATGTACTGCTAAATCTACCAAACAAAACCAGCAACCTGGCAAAAAGCATGATCAGAGGACACAGAGGAGTTTTGTGAAGGTTTATGTTGTGATAATGACAGGCTGATTCTCCATTTATCCCACTTACACAGTTACTTACATGCATAGCATACATATAGAGCATCATTAAATGGACATTAAATATTATTTGCAGTTCAAATTATTTTATGACATGAGAAGAGGCACCAAGGCCACCCTTACTGTTCACAACAGTATTCAAAGCACCCATAACTTATGTAGTTATTTTAGATTTGCTGGTAAATAATTAAGGAAAAGGTGTATATATATATTTTTTTTTTAAAAAGTATTTTAGAGTTTGAAAATAGAATATTCTAGACAAATTCATAATATGTTTGCATATGAGAGTACAAAATATTGTATTCTTTAAAAAACTGCCCTTGGAGTTTTATGATTTTAATAATTAACATGACTATTTCAGGTCTATAAATCACACTTCTAAAATCAGACTTCCTCATATATCCAGATTTTTGGCACTCTGACAGTGGGCACTCTGGTTCTTCAAAAGAAAAAGAGAAATATCTTAATTTTTAGTAGTTTATCTTAATTTAATGCTTTTTTAATATCATTTTACGTACATCATTTATATAATTAAAAATATGCGCCTTAATTGGACAATCCAGTGTTCAAGAGAGCCGTGTAAAATAAATACCATACAGACTGAGCAATCGCATGCAGCCTTTTAACTCAGTCAGCCATAATGAAACTCCTCTGTGGCACTAGCAGTTTACAACTCTTTGTTTGTGTGTTTGAGAATATATGTGCCTTTTTCTGTCTTCTACCTTCATTTTAATTTCCACATCCTTTTTTTTGCATCATGCAAGAATAGAGAGCAATAATGTCATTCATTAGCGTAGAAAATAATGTGTTTCCACACACGCACACACACACACACGCACACACACACACACACACACACACAGAGTCTGCTGTTCAGTCTCTGCAGATCAAAAGCCCTCATCACCACTGAGAGTTCATTTCTGGAAACATCTTTGAGCTCTTTGTTAGCTTATTTTAAAAAATGATGTTTGTGCTTGTTTCTGGGTTTTAATGGATCATATAATTCTCTGTATGGCATCCTCCAGGCCCTCATGATATCAAAGCTCTTTTAAAACTAAAATTTATGTGTAACATCTGAAGAAAAAGGGTCATAAGTACATTAATGCATCAGAAATGGTTTGCAATCTAAAACCTGCTGTTTGGTTCACATTGCAGATACTGTTTGGTGGTCGCCCTGGGTTATCTAAGCTTCTGCCAAATTACCCGGGTTTACGTCTTTGATTACGGAATGTACTCTGCAGATTTCACGGGGTAAGAATACGCCTTTCTGTGTGAAGTTTCTGAGCTTCGTTGTCCGTGTTTTCTATTCATATTTCTCTTTTTTTTTTCTCTTACAGGCCGATGATGGTCATCACACAGAAGATAACCAGTGTGGCTTTTGAGATCCATGATGGTGAGTGAATGTGTGTGTGTTTGGTTAAAGTTGAGAATACACACAGGAAAGATGCATCAGGATTCTATTCTAGATGCTGTTCCAGACGACTGCTGTTGTGATTGTCAAATGTGCTGCCAAAGGGCCTGAGAAACTAATTAAAGAAATGGAAGGCAGCGGAATGAAATGAAAGCAAATGAAAACAAGCCTCCCTTCTTCTCTTCACCCCTCTATTGTTCCACAGGGTGACAGATTACCCTTAAGATGTGTGCTCCTCTCACCGCACTTCTTAATATTACCGTTATCACTAATTCATTTCTTTGTCCTCTGCTGAGTTCAGCTGCTAGCCTGCAAACCTTTGTTATGGAGATTCTTCTAAACAGAGTGGATTCCCTTAAGATTTACTCTGTTTTATCCTCACTGAATGTCTAGTGCGAGATTAAGTCTGGATGATATGACGATTTACACTGTGCCATGGCGGCATTGTATCAGATTTTTCATTTATTTTATTTTAATTTGTTTAATTTAATTTAATTTTTACTTAATCTATTTTATTTTATTTTCAATTTGTCTTTGTTAGTTTTGATTGATTTTGACTGATGTCGGACATATTATTAATTTGTTATGCATAATCTAATCTTTTGTCTTCATCATAGTCTAGATAAATATAGAACATAATCAAATGAGATGAAGTCCCTTTCATTTGGAAAGTATTTAATTCAGTGGATTATCCAGAAATGGGCATTACCATGTGGTTATATGAAGCAATTCTCATTGATTTCCAGTACAGATATTGTGATATATTCTGTTACTGTGATATAAAATTACATGTTTTGTAATATAAATTGTATGGAAGCTTATTAAGTGGTTTCACTCGCCTGTTGCCCCGAATAACCTGTCACTGATATTCCCTATGGTCCGTAGGACACTAATAGGACAAAGTCCCCCATAGAAGTCCTTGCCGACCTCCATCACTAGTTTTGGGACATGTTGATGCATACTGTGGGTGAAGCTCTGTCTCTGCACTGCTGCTGCTCTCTGAGTCAGGCATAAACCATAATGAAAACATTTTAAGTGGCTCGTCTTTTTGTTATATGCATAAGGGTGGCAATAAAACAACAAGAAATGATTCAAGCCACTTACCCTGGGTCGCCCTGCCTTGTCTTATCGTGCAGGAAGACAAACAACTGAGGCAGAGGAGACTCATGAGTCGATCACATGAACTCTGAGCCAAGTCAATTTACAGCACATTTCTTCCCTCTCTAATTACTTCTGTAAATCAGAGGGAGGCCAGGGAGTGTTAGACTAAACTCACAAGCTTAGAATTTGAGCACGTATGGGACATCCACTGTGCTCAAATCATGCAAACATTATGATTTCCCACTATATTGTATTTAAAGGAATAGTTCACCCAAAAACTTGCAAGCCTGCCATCATCATTCCATCATCCCAAACCCGGATGACTCGTTTCTTATGTGGAAAACAGAAAAAGGAGACATTTTGAATAATATACTGCTCCATCATTTCCATGCAGTTACCTTGAATGTGGACTGAAGCTTTATCTACTATCTATATCTATTATCTGGGATGTTTATTATGGATTGATGGTGTTGGTATTGATACATTTTGTGTGTGTTTGTATGTTTATAGGAATGGCAAGGAAAGAAGATCAACTAAACCAAAGTCAAAAACTGTTGGCCATAAGGTATGTAGACTAAAAAGACTGTTATTATTAAAATGTTGACAATACAAAGACAAAATTAAATGAAGGAATGTAGTTTTTGATTGAGTGTGTGTAATTGTGGTAGTTGCTTTGCCCTTTATATTTAAAACTGCAATCTCAAGTCTCTTTTCTAGACGTGATTTTACTTTTGTTCTAATGCAATTCTAAAATCTAGTTTTCCTCTGTATTCGTGTTTTATTCAGACGAATGCCCAGTTTATTGGAGTACTTCAGTTACAACTGTAATTTCATGGGGATTTTGGCTGGTCCCACCTGCTCTTATAACGATTACATAGCCTTCATCGAGGGCACCCCCTATCGCCACAGAGACCTTGAGACCAAAGGAAAAGTCAATGTGAAGAGCAGACTGAACGACCCTTCACCAAATGTTTGTTTTAAGTTGTTTGTATTTGCTTATAGCGTCACATTACACACCAATTCATGTCACAAGTAGCTTAAATGTTTACCATTACAAAGTTGGGGGTAAGATATTATGCATTTATTTGATCAAAAATACAGTAAAAACAGTAATATTGTGAAATAAATATTAGTAATTTAACATAACTGTTTTCTATTTTGTTGTTTTAAAATGTAATTTAGTCCTTTGATGGTGAAGCTGAATTTTCAGCAGCCATTACTCCAGTCTTGTGAGTCCCGTAATTCTTCAGAAATCATTCTAATGTTGATTTAGTGGTCAAGGAAAATGTCATATTATTATTGATGTTAAAAACATCATTGTACTGCTTAATATGTTTGTGGAAACTGTGATAGCCTATATATATATA